TCAAATTAAAGCAGCATAGGTGGTGTTTTCAAAACTGTTTTTGTGTTAGAGCTATTGAAACCTAACTGGACATAAAGAACTGAAATTCTAAATAATTCTGAGAAGAAACATGGAACTTGCTTCTTCCATGGAGGAGGTGTAATTGGGTTGTGTTACGTTACTTAGGAGATTGTGATGCTGCTTAGCTTCTTTATGGTCTTCGGGAGTACTTATTTAGATTGTTCTGCCTTTAACCAAATTGTGGTCATGCAAAACTGCATTACTTTTGTCTGGGAAGTTCTCCCAGTAGTTATGACACACTCTTGCAGTTCTCAGACTTTTGTGGGTATAAGCAAAGCCCTGGGGGAATTGTTAAAAATGTTCTACTCTTGGAAATTACTAGTCAGTAGACCTTTGGCAGGCCATTTAAAATCTGACTTTAAGAAGAAGCACCCTAGGTAATTTTCATGCAGGTCATCAGCAGACCACAATTGGAAAAACATTGTTGTGTGGCATCAAGTCCAAACTGATATGGCTTATAATGTCACCCTACCTGCTCTCTAGCCCCATTTTCCATGGGTCTACAGCACACATCCTGTGCTCCAGAAATGCTAAGCCATTTAGAGTTTAGAATTTACAGATTAAATTAGAAGTTAGTCTTGAGAGAAAGTACAACTTATATAAGTCACATACTTGGAGTGGCAAGAAAAATGCATGGTATATAGCCAGGGTGCCACTCCAAGTATGTGACTGGTGTAAGTTGTACTTCCTATCAAGACTAATTCCTATCTAATTTCTCTTTAAACTCTAAATTTCTCTCTAAACTTCTCTCTAATGTCCAGAGTGGCCTTCTAATGGTCTTCCCCTTTTCTAATAACTCTTATACAGGTACCGTGTTCTCTAACTACTGTTTCTCCCCTTTCCCCCTTCATGTCTGTGTTTAGTTCTTCCCAGTTGCCTTCTGGAGGGAGAAAAAAAAAATAGGCTTGGCTTTCAAGGTCCTGTATGACCTGGTCCTTCCTTAGTCCTTGACTTTTAAATCTCAGGACTCTTCCCCCTTGTTTTATTTGACGGTCTCACGAAAACAGACCTTCTTCTTTGCTCTTTATAATTTGCCCTACCTGGAATATGTTTATTCAAATCCTGAAGCTCTATTCTAAGCCCACCTTCTTGATAAAGATCATCATTCCATCTTGCAGTGAGGAAATCGAATAGTAAACTAAAATGTCTTCCAAGAGTAAGGTTAATAGGGAAATTATGCTTGAACAATTAACTTCATGGAAAACTTGGTGGGAATAATATAATATTGTTCCTGCCAAAGCATACTAAATGGATAGATTCATTATGTTTAGTGGAGCCTTACTATGTGTATTACACATTTTAACCTTTAGTAATGGAAGCTCAGTTATTCACTGTTACCTGTGAAATGAAACCAACTAGCATATAAACTATGATGGATCATTCCCCCTTATTTCTGTTTTTACTTCATGAATAAAATAAACTAGTTTAAAATATAGTTAAATTATTATTAGCTTTAACCTGTTATTTTCTGTAACAGACATATGGTTTTGAAATAATACTCAGGCTAACGAAACTTTGTAATGCCTGAGTCCTAATTTCCTAATTTTTTTGCCAGTTGGATGTTTCCCAGGCATCTCAGTCTGTCTGCAAAACAGAATCCACACCTTTCCTTCCCCCAGCCTGCTCCAAGGAACGCCAGCGGGAGGACAGTGATGCTGGAGGAGAGAATAGGAAGAGCGGTCAGTGGGTCCCCGAAGGCCAGCACCACGCGGGGCCTCCTGGGCTTGTAGCAGCTTGCGTTGTGTTCTGTGTGCAGGACGGCCGCACTTTGGAAGGGTAAACCTTTTCCTCTGTGACAGGGTGCATTTGTTCTTTAAGGACATGGTTTCCATCAGATGTAATGGAGCAGGGAATTTGAGTGAAACTTTAATGTTCCTCCTAAAGTACCTAATTAATTTAATAGAGTAATAGTATTTGTTCTAGTATGTATTATAGTTTCCTTGGGCCTATTTCCACATCATTAAGGAAGAACATCACATTAGAAGCTATCCATTTAAATCCTAATCATTTTTAAAACAAAATTTATGAGTTTTCTTTTCTGTTTTTTTTTTTTAATTTCCCTTTTTCTTTGGAGGGAGAGTTGACTGTTGTATAATTTAATTTGCATTTTCTTTTGTCATCATTTCTAGTAGGGGCATCATGTTGGGAAAATTTAGGTTTGGAATTGTGATTTAATTGGAGACAGGATTGATACATCGCAAAGAATGAATCGCCTTACCAGATTTGCTGACTTTGGACAGTGCAGAGCCTGTAAACTTTCTGGGGGCTCCTGATTTGGTGTGTATAGTAAACAGAAACAATTCCGTCTTGGGGGTAGAAGAATAAAGATGAACATCACCTTCCAGGGAATGGAGAGTGCTGTTTTAGAGTATAGATCCTTTAAGAAATGTAGTAGGACCTAAATATTTATGGAGAAGTCTCTGAATAAAATGTAAAGTTCGTTTAGATAAAATAACCCATGTGGTGACAGAAATTCAAGAAAAGGACAAAATTGGCAAAAGTTACATAAATGGTAAAAGTCTAATCGATATTTCAAATTTTTCATTTATTTCATGACTCTGTCATTGTTCCTTAAGTCATATGTTCCTTGAGTCAATAGTTGTCTAGATAAAAACAAAACTATTAAAATATTTAAAGAAAAATTTTAAAATCCAAATAATTACTGGGTTTGAATAATAAGAAAAAACTCACAAAACACTCCAAACTTTGGTGTGAAGTCTGTAATTCTCTTTGGATCCATGATAATTTAAAATACTCATATTCATTTTGAACTGTTTTGTGTTTGCACTATAAAATTATATTCCTCATGTTTCATTTTTCCACTGTAGTATCTTCCTTTTGGACGTTTGCAGTGTGTGCTCAGAGGGAAGTGCAAGCATAAGTATTATATTAAAGCAGAATTCCTCCTAGAATATCTTTGCTTCTGGGTTATTCCAGTGTGTTTAGTTTTGATGATTAGGGAGGAAAAGGAAGTTGTTACATTTCCAGTTCTGTTGCTTGTTGGCCCTCATAAGGAAAACCGAGTATTACTGCTCTTTGCTGTTCTCGAACTAGCATTATTTGAATAATTAAGTCAGCCTGATCAGATGAGTTTTTTCTTTGTACTTTTTTGTTTTTCATAAGTAGCTAACTTAATGAAATATAAATAACAGGTTTCTATTGAGATTGATCTGTAAATAATTCAACACTAAAAAAACCTTAGAAATAGTATTAATACAAGTGAACTATAAAAACCAAATCTCTTTTAAGAGCCACAAGTATGCATTTGAAAATTAGTTGATTCATTTTCCTTTTGTCAAGGTAGAGTGCCCTGAAATGTACATTGTTACAGTAGTGAAATTAAGAAATGAGAATTTCTTAATTGGTTAAGTGGGATATCTGATTTTCAACCTCATTAGAGCTAATCAGTTTTGATTTTGCAACAGTATTTGCTTGACCATCTCTATAAAATTTTATATAATAAAATCAGGTTTAAAGTTTAACTTCATAGCACCTAATCAGATAGTTAAATTCCTTATGTATCTCATAACTACATATAAGGATCACAGAGGTAATTTTGTTGATTGATGCTTTGGAAGTATAAGATGTATACAAATTCTTATTCTAGATTAAGGATATCTTTACTCTGAAAAATTGTTCAAGGTAGCTTACAGGTTGTATTCTGAATATTGCCCAGAACCACTGGGACAAAATGTGTGTCTTCGTAAATGTTAGTCAAGAGTATGGCATGTACAATGAAGATATTCATTATGTCCCTAGGAAAGTTAATAGGTATTACTCCAAATAGAAGGAAAAGATAATGTGGTCAAGTAAATTTGGGATATGTTGATTTAAGCAAAGCTTAAGTGTTACTGAAGATTTCTTAGAGCCTTTAATAATGAAATATTTTATATTAAACAGATTAATCTTACTTAAAGAATTTTAAGTATCTGGTCAGTCATTGATCTTATTTGTTTTATATAACTTTTCCTCCCTTCACAAAATAAAAATTTCCTCCCTTCACAAAATATGCACATTCCATGTCAGATACCATTTTATTAATGGGAAAAAAGAAAATATCTCTTCTTTCAGGGGACTTAAACATGAAAAGTCACCATATGTAAGAAGTTTTGTATATGAATTTAATGTTTTCAATTCTAGTTTTCTGAAGTTTTCTATTTGAGTTTTAGTTCCTTGAATTTTTCAGGGATTGATAGGTAAGTAAGTAAAAGACAAATGGTTAGAAAGGAAGGATAAGATAGAAGGAAGAACAAATTCAACAAACTGAACTATTAATAGATTCAAGACTTTGCATTGTCTTTTCTCTGAAATGCTTTTTGGATGAGATATATACTTATTTGAATGGATTTTTACAGAATAAGTAAGATAATAACTTACTAAGTCTTATTTCTGTGCTATTTGGTGTGTTGAAGGATGTATTAGTGGAGAGAACTGTACTCCTATAATATCCTCTGATTAATGGGAGTGGTTTGTGATTTAAAAATCATTACTTCTGATTCAGTTCAGTTCAGTCGCTTAGTAGTGTCCGACTCTTTGCAGCCCCATGAACTGCAGCATGCCAGGCCTTCCTGTCCATCACCAACTCCTGGAGTCCACCCAAACCCATGTCCATTGAATCGGTGATGCCATCCAACCATCTCATCCTCTGTCATCCCCTTCTCCTCCTGCCTTCAATCTTTCCCAGAATCAGGGTCTTTTCAAATGAGTCAGCTCTTCGCATCAGGTAGCCAAAGTATCATCTGATAATTTGTTTTCCTAAAAATTTGAGACTTAATTGCTCATTTCTATTCATTCTCTACCTTATCTCCATTTATGACTTCCAGTTTCCTTTTATGATATAGTCTTTGGTTTTCAAGGTTTGAGTATATATCAGAACATAAACTGCATGATTTTTCAAGTTTATTGCATAATTGTTCATTGTACACATATCTGTATTTCAGATGGAGCAGCTGTCGGATGAAGAAATTGACCATGGTGCTGAAGAAGACAGTGACAAGGAAGATCAGGACCTAGACAAAATGTTTGGGGCCTGGCTGGGGGAGCTGGACAAACTCACTCAGGTTAGAAACAGTGCTTGAAAAACTGGTTGAGAATTTTAAGTCATCACTGTGTGTTCAGATTTTACTCTGTAGACCTCAGGATATGAACATAGGTTATGTTTTAAAATACTGCTACAAAGAGAAAATGTCTAAAACATTAACAAGTAAATGAATAGTAACTCTAGGAACACAAGATACTCTCTTCTGTGGTTATTTTAAGGAGTTTTGTGTGTTTTTTTTAATGCTTTTGACAGAAGTTCTGTGTATCTAGAGGGATTTCTAAAATCTGTTTTATAAATTGAATTGCTGGCTAAAAAGCTTTAAAGCCTAAAATGTAAAAATCTAAATTTTAGCAAATCCTATTTCATAACTTAGTGGATATGAACACATTTTACAGAATAAATGATATTGTCACATGCAGATATTTTCTATTACATGATCCCAGAATACTCACAAAGTTTCATCCCTGGCTACATTTTAAAACAGTGGCAAAGTTTTTTTCATTTTCTTTTATTGGATCTTTGTTTTTGTTTTTTTAAAGAATTATTTTGTCCTCTAAACAAGGTCGCTTTTTAGAATAAAAGCATATACTATTACTACCCTGGTTAATACATTATATTCAATATATATGAAGATAGTTAAGTTTGTTAAAACAACTTTAACTTTATGGTGGGTTTCCCAGGTGGCTCAGTGGTAGAGAATCTGTCTGACGATGCAGGACGCGCAGGAGATGCAGCAGGAGATGTGGGTTTGATCCCTGAGTCAGGAAGATTCCCCTGGAGTGAAAAATGGCAGCCTGCTCCAGTACTCTTGCCTGGAAAACCCCATGGGCAGAGGAGCCTGGCAGGCTGTAGTCCATAGTGTCACAAAGTCAGCATGAATAAGCATGCACACGACTTTACAACAGTGAAAACGTTAGAACAAGACTTATTTCATTCACCGTTAACTGATATTTCTGGGAAGAACTTTTCTTTAAATTACTTAAGTACGAAATTCGTTGACCAGTAGAATAGTAGATGGTAAGGTGGAAACTTAAAGTACTAGTTTGTTTCTATATCTCTTTCCATATCATTCTGGAATTGAAACTGAGAAACTGTTCATGTAATTCTTGCTAGATCATGTTGAAAAGCAGACATGTTTGTGACCATAACCTGTTAATGATGAGTTTTGAGAAGAACACTCTCACTCTTACTAGGGCTGTGCTGGTAGCTCAGCTGGTAAAGAATCCTCCTGCAAGGCAGGAGATCCCAGTTCGATTCCTGGGTCAGGAAGATCCCCTGGAGAAGGGACAGGTCACCCACTCTAGTATTCTTGGGCTTCCCTGGTGGCTCACGTGGTAGAGAATCCGCCTGCAATACTGGAGACCTGAGTTTGATCCCTGTGTTGGGAAGATCTCCTGGAGGAGGGCATAGCAACCCACTCCAGTGTTCTTGCCTGGAGAATCACCACAGACAGAGGGGCCTGGCGGGCTACAGTCCATGGGGTTGCAAAGAGTCGGACACAGCTGACAACTAAGCAGAGCCAGCACAGCATGGGATTTCATAAGGTCGTTCTCTTCATCTCCAATCAGGGGAAACAGCAACATTTGTGGTGATAAAGCTCTTTTCTTATGTAGTTACCAAACCATTTTAGTTTAATTCTTAATTTTTCTTGAAAAAGAAGTGATTTTGGCTTAGAGATGATGACTAGGCTATGCAGTTCTGTGCTGAGGAAATAAAGCAGAGGAAATAGCAAATAATAATGAAAGAAAGTATGTGAGAGCCAGCTGTCGTGTGTGGGGTTTCCAGTTTTTTGTCTGTCTGTATTTGGCTATGCTGCCCAACTGGCAGGATCTCAGTTCCCTGACCAGGGGTTGAACCTGGGCCACAGCAGTGAAAGCCTGGAATCCTAACACTGGGCACCCAGGGAGCTCCCAGGGGTTTCCTTGACTGTGTGTTTTACTGTCCATCCTTGGGGAGAAGCCGAAAAGAGGAAAGACAGGCAGGTATAAGCCTAGACACTCTAGGTGGAGTAGACCTGATGCTATTCCACTGTAGGTAACATTTCTACTGAATACAGGAAAATCTTATGTACATTTGTATAAACCTTCTGTATATTTTAAATTCCCTGACATACACATGTAACAGCCATTCATCAAAAAAGTTGGGTACTAAATTAATGCTTTGACCTTCCTTTTTTATGTATGAAGCTGTCTTACAGAGAAAACAGGGTAAAACTATTGGAGAATACCCCTCACTGCTGTGCGTGCATGCTAAGTCACTTCAGTCATGTCTGACTCTTTGCAACCCCATGAACTTTAGCCTGCCAGGCTCCTCTGTCCATGGAATTCTCCAGGAAGAATACTTGAGTGGGTTGCCATTTCCTCCTCCAGGGTATCTTCCTGACCCAGGGATCGAACCTGTGTCTCTTACATCTCCTACATTGTCTTTGTCAGGCAGGTTCTTTACCACTAGTGCCACCTGGGAAGCCCCATCCCTCACTGCTACTAAGTTACTTTTTAACACTTCCGAAATTTTCAAACAATATTTTACTAAGTTAGTCGCTAAAACTTCAGAATTGATTATTTTAGTTCGCCACAGTCATCCATGCACCTGTATCATACAATGTTAATGGATTTTCAACTTTATATTAAATCATTTTTAAGTTTCTAGTGGTTGTTGAATCTTCTGAAATTGTTTGTAAAATTTTGCATGTATTTGCATTTTTCTGCAAGTAGTTGCATGGCTTTTATCACATTCTCAATGACATCACTCCCAACCCAATTCCACCACCACCACCCCACCACCACCAAAAAAATAAAAAAGGTTAAAAAAACCCACTCCACTAGAGTACCCATTTCTTGGCATCAAGGAATATTTCCTATCATTTCCCTTTCTGCTCCAGCTCCATGGACACAGCAGATAATTATAATAAGTACTTGTTTATTTGAACTGATAAATAGATTGATTTTTAATATGTCCTAAATTATCCTCAGATTTTACTGAAAACATTACCTACCTATCAGTCTTCATTTCCACTGAGAGAAGGAGAATTAGGCCTTAACTTGTAGTGGAAAAATTAGGTTTGAGGTTAAAGAAGAATTTCCTAGCTGTTTCATTAAACTTTGAAATAAAGCACTGAAGAGTTGTGGATCTCCTTCAGATGATAGCTTTAAAATCTGGATAGACACTATCTAAATGGATTCAGTTAAAACAAATGAATAAAAAAGATAGCACTCTATCTAATTCTGTGATTCTACAAAAAGATTGTTCAACATTCTTTTTTATTTGAAATCTGTTTGATAATTAAGAGAAATTAAAAATTTGAAAGACTAATCCTGATATTTGCATATTTAGTTAAAAAGACACTAAATAACTACTGACCCTTTCCCTGAATTTCTTTGTTGTAACCACCTTGTTTTCCTTATTGTAGAAAGGTTAGAGAGGGGAAAAAAAGGGTCATTTAAAGAGGTGGTGAGTTAACTTACAAAACACCCTACCCTAAAGTGTAGAATATAATTGTAGACTTAGGACAGGCAGTATAGCTGGGTTATAGTTTACACTCACCTTGATAGAACATGAAAAGAACAGGATATTCCATCATTGTTTAAAGTTATAGCCACTTTCTGTTAAGATCGTGGCTCTCATAATTTTGAGTCCAGAATTGTGCCTTATCTTCAGGGTATTTCATTCTAAGAATGAGACTAAGTTGTACCAAAACCAAATTCCTTTGAGGAAAGAGATAACAAAATTCTCTACATTATTCCCTTTTATTTCTTATCCTCACATCCCATATTCGTGTACCCACCTTATTGTATAGTGAATTTATGTAAAATGAGCTCAGCCACTATACTCGTTGTATTTGGGAAGATATTTACTCTGACCTGTGACTGTGTCAAGTGCCTTAAGTAAGCATATATCTAAAAATGGAAAAAACTATAACCAAAATGATGTGAAAACCAGTTATTCTTTTCCTCAAGGCTAATACTTAGAAGAACTTTGATTTTATTAACTATTTTATGACAGTTCACTTAATCATAGAATAAACTTTATTCATCTTTTATTATAATTGAGACCTGAATTTAATATGACTCATTAAACTTTCTTTTTAAAAAGAGTTTGGATTCTGACAAGCCCACGGAACCAGTAAAAAGATCTCCTCTTCGCCAGGAAACAAACATGGCCAATTTTTCTTATCGCTTCTCCATATACAACTTGAATGGTAAGATGTAATTGAAAATGAAATGTAAAATAGTATGTTGTTATATAATGTGGAAATAATACAGCAACAATTCCAAATAGCTCAATATAAAAACTATATATGCATAACAACTGAGTCAAATATTTCTTGATTTGTGCATTTTATTACTAATTCAGATGATCAGAGAAAAAACTAACTGGAATATAACTAAAATAGTTACCTAGTTATTAGTAATTGGCAAAGTATATACTCACATGGAATCCTACAGCAAACTTAATTGTGTTATTATATTTGCAGTGGGATAAAGTCCAGTGAAATTACTTGTTATTAATTAAAAAATCAGCCCTTCTGACCTTTATTTAATGAACTATACCTAGTGGAGCTGACATTTCAATCTGTAAATTTTTTAGGTCTTAACATTTTTCTTTTTATGCCCTCTGATCTTTAGGTATTAACAGCTCTACCAAGGCTATGGTCATGTTAACACTTAGAGCCTCTGGTGAAAAATTGCATGAGGGATGTGGTTAATAGAACAGTATAAAATTTTTCTATTTTTTTAATCTTTCAACTCATAATTTTATTCTCTTTTGATTACCACAAATCTTAAAAGATGGGCTCTTTGCTTCTGAAATTTTCTCTTGGAGTTTAAAATGAACAAAAACCTGTTAGAACTGTGGTATTTGATAGGCTTTATGCCCAATAGGGTGATTTTTTTTTTTTTTTTGCTTTTCCTCTTGCATTCGTTGACTGATTTATAATAGAATGTGTAAATTCTAATTCACTGTGTTCTGGAAACATTGCAGAAGCTCTGAATCAGGGAGAAACTGTGGATCTGGATGCACTAATGGCCGATCTTTGCTCAATAGAGCAGGAGCTCAGCAGTATCGGTGCTGGAAATACTAAGCGTCAAATCACAGAAACAAAGGCCACTCAGAAATTACCCGCTAGCCGACATACATCAAAACATGGCACCTTGAAAGGACAGTCTTCTTCATCCAATAGGATAACTAAACCATCTCATGCCAACTACTCCCTGGATGACATCACCGCACAGTTAGAACAGGCCTCCTTGAGCATGGATGAGGCTGCTCAGCAGTCTGTACTAGAAGATACTAAACCCTTAGTAACTAGTCAGCACAGGAGAACAGCGTCGGCGGGCACAGTGAGCGATGCTGAAGTACGCTCCATTAGTAACTCCTCTCGTTCAAGCATCACTTCTGCAACCTCCAGCATGGACTCTTTGGATATTGATAAAGTAGCACGCCCTCAAGAACTGGATTTGACACATCAGGGGCAGCCAGTTACTGAGGTAAGTGGATGAAACTTTCTTCCCTATTATTTCAGTATTAAGGAGGCAATGGTATTTTTTCAATCTTGTTCTAATAAATTTTCTCGTTTTTTTCCTACACTTAAAATTTATCAGAAATACCTCTGAGCTAAGTTTTGAAATCAGACTATAGAAAGAATGTATTACCAGATACAGCAGTGTCACAAAGATGATTAAGAAAAAATTTAGTTTCTTCGGTTTTAGTCTTATGACTATTTGAAGTCTTTTATATTAATGTCAGTTGTATCATATGATTAAAAAGCTTGAAATGTGATTTATATTTGATATTTTACTAAGTTAAGATGGCTATTAAGCTGATAATTGCTTTTTAATATGTTTATTATAAAATGGCCACTTGAAAAAATGGCTCATATCCCCATTATAGTTCTCCTAGATTATAAGTTCTCAGCGTTTACTCCATTTTAGTAGCAAAGAGTTGATGTAGTGTGATGGAAAGAACCACTGGACTTGGAATCAGAAAACTTGGTTCCAAGTGTCTCACTACCCACTGGTCCTAAATGAGTTATTCAGTCTTTGTGAACCTCAATTTCTCATAAGAAAAGTCAAACTAATAGTACATAGTCTGTCTTCTTCATACTGTGGTTCAGAGTGTCAAAAGTGATATAATAGACATGAACAGATTTTAAAAGATGAAGTTTTTCTGATATGATGGAGGTGAGGATAAGGAATGGATTTGGGATGAAATAAGTTTAGCAAAAGCTGAGCTTGATAAAGGAGAATTTTTAAAATTGAGTTTTGTTCATGAAGGAGAAAGCTATTTTGTTATAAGGTAGCAGCAAGAAAAAAGAAAATGGATGGGGCAGAATAAAACCAGCCTTCCGTTCAGTTTATAACTACAGTGCTGTTCTAATAGAGTAAAATAATTTATATTAATCAGTACTAAGTTAAAATCTTACAAAACATTGTTTAAGGACTTGCAGAGAATTCAAAGTTTGTATCTGTTACATTGGTTTAATTTAGTTGGTCAATTTCTATCAGTCAGTAACTCTTGGTACCCACTCATGTACCTGGCTTCACTCTGGGCATTGGAGAGCACAAAAGAAGCATGAATCATGGTAATTTAAAGATAAATTTGAGTTTTGTTGCTTGTAAAGAAAGATAACAAGTTATAGCAAAGAATAAACTTTGTTTATTTAATGAAACTTTCCCAAATGGTTTGTATTCTGTAGAAAACTGCTTTCTCCATTGTGAAACCTGGGCATTATCTTTAGCACCAGCTCCTTAGCATGTATCACTTACATCTTTTAGACTTACCTGTTGGGATATGAGTAATATTTTATTATAGATATGCTTTCTTGTTTATTCTGTGTTTTATATGTTCTTTTCAATCATATTATTTTGAGTTGGGTCAAGAGGCATGAGGACAGGTTATGCACTAATTAAGAATCTTGGTGTATGTGTTTGCATCTGTAAGATACATTCATTATAAAAGTTCCCTCTGATTTTGTGCAAATCCCTTTGATTTTGTGCAAATCAAAACCACAATGAGGTACCATTACACACCAGTCAGGATGGCTGCTATCCAAAAGTCTACAAGCAATAAATGCTGGAGAGGGTGTGGAGAAAAGGGAACCCTCTTACACTGTTGGTGGGAATGCAAATTAGTACAGCCACTATGGAAAACAGTGTGGAGATTTCTTAAAAAGCTGGAAATAGAACTGCCATATGACCCAGCAATCCCACTTCTGGGCATACACACTGAGGAAACCAGATCTGAAAGAGACACGTGCACCCCAATGTTCATCGCAGCACTGTTTATAATAGCCAGGACATGGAAGCAACCTAGATGCCCATCAGCAGACGAATGGATGAGGAAGCTGTGGTACATATACACCATGGAATATTACTCAGCCATTAAAAAGAATTCATTTGAATCAGTTCTAATGAGATGGATGAAACTGGAGCCCATTATACAGAGCGAAGTAAGCCAGAAAGATAAAGACCATTACAGTATACTAACACATATATATGGAATTTAGAAAGATGGTAACGATAACCCTATATGCAAAACAGAAAAAGAGACTCCGAGGTATAGAACAGACTTGTGGACTCTGGGAGAAGGCGAGGGTGGGATGTTTCAAGAGAACAGCATCGAAACATGTATATTATCTAGGGTGAAACAGATCACCAGCCCAGGTTGGGTGCATGAGACAAGTGCTCGGGCCTGGTGCACTGGGAAGACCCAGAGGGATCGGGTGGAGGGGGAGGTGGGAGGGGGGACGGGGATGGGGAATACATGTAAATCCATGGCTAATTCATTTCACTGTATGACAAAAACCACTGCAATGATGTAAAGTAATTAGCCTCCAACTAATAAAAATAAAAGAAAAAAAATAAAAGTTCCCTCAGAAAAAGCACACTCATTAAGTAACAGTTGAAGAGCAAATAAAGTAAAAAGTGAAGTCTCCTAGCAAACACTTCACATGATACCTAGTGACATCCATGGGCGAGGATGCCAGTGTACAATGATATAATATTTTAAGATAAGACCTTAATGTAAAGTTTTGTGAGTAAGCCAGGAAAAAACAAGGAAAGGAGTTAAAGTCTCTTCCATCAGCCTTTTTTTTTGCCGTGCCAAGATGGGTAGAAAAGTGGTTTAACAAATCTGGAACTTGTTTCAGTATACTTTTTTTTCGGATCTAGTCTGTTCTGATTCAAGCCAAGAAAACTGAAGGAGGCTTACTAGATCCCAAACCTGTGTATTAAATTGCCACCAGACTCAAATACAGTTTCTAAAAACTACTTTAGTTTTGCATGCATGAAGTTAAAGAGTCATAAAGTTGTAAAGATACTTGTTACCAAAAAAAAAAAAAAAAAAAACTGCTACACATGCATACATGCATGCTGTATTCTGCTCCCAGGGATAAGCGCTTTCTACTCTTTTAGCTGATTCTTAGTGTATATTTACCTATCATTAAATCTACAGTTATATTGCTGTATTTTGATTTTTTTTTTTTCAGTTGTTTGTGTTACTTACTGACTTCTCATTCCGGAAAATGAGGATATAGCTAATTAGGATATAGTGCTCTGTAGACAGTTCCCCTCTTTTCTCCCCTCTCCTCCCAATTTATTTTGGTTGGGTAACTGTTCAGTGTTTATATTATCATGACCTGTATACTTGCAGTTCACTACTAGACTGTATATACTTACATTACATTTCCTTTTGGGGACATTACATTTTGTTTTTCCTGGAATTCTTTAAAATTTAAAATAATTTTTTGTATGTTTATTACTATTTCAACTCCAAACTTTCTCCCAGCTGATTAAATCTTTTACTTGGTTTGAATAAAATTGGTGTTTGTTAATTTCATCTTGAAATTCCTTTTTGTCTTTTGCAATCTTTATTCTAGTTTCATTCATTTTTTTCTCTCAGGTGGATAAGCTTCTCCAGGGAAGATTCTTCCAGTCCCCTGCGTGGAGGGCATGTACTTTGTTGTCAGGGCTTTACAGCCCATTGGGAAAGAAGGCATGGGATATGGAATGGTCCTCCACAGGACCTTCCATTTAATTGTTCTAGGTCAGGGTTTCTCACCCGTCATCACTATTGACATTCTGGGCCAGATAATTCTTTGCTGTAGGGAGCTGTCCTGTGCTCCCTGTGCGTTTGTAGAATGTTTAGCGGCATCCCTGGCACCTCTTCGCCAGGTGTCAGAACTGCATGTGCTGTGCTGTGCTTAGTCGCTCAGTTGTGTCCGACTCTTTGCAACCCCTTGGACTGTAGTCTGCCCGGTTCCTCTGTCCATGGCATTCTCCAGGTGAGAATACTGGAGTGGGTTGCCATGCCCTCTTCCAGGGGATCTTCCCACCCCAGGATCAAACCCAGGTCTCCCGCATTGCAGGCAGATGGATACTTTACCTTCTGAGCCACGAGGGAAGCCTGCCATAATAACTGCATACCTTCCTCAAATTATAAAGTCTCCAGACATTGGTACATATTCCCTGGAGGCAAAATTGCCCCCATTTGAGAATCAGTGTGTTAAGTAGAAAGGGTTAACAATAGCAGATCTGAGCCTTTTTTTTTCCATGGGAAATAACCTTGGATTTTCCTTTTCCTGGCATCCTTTTACTAAAAACTTGATTAATAAATATAGAATGTATCCAAGTAATATTGTTTATTGTAAATTGACCCTGATTGGTGATTGCATATGGACCAGGGAGACTGTGAGTGAACTGTAGAGGCCTGTGAGAAGACACTGTACTTGGTCATGGTGTGCAGTATGTGACTGTTCTAAGTGAGCGTGAACATAGCCTCCAGCGACTCTGGAATCTCCACACACTGGCTGTCAAAATGCACGACTGCTTCCTGTGGAGTGTGAGATTTCCCTAGGCCACGGTGATGTCTGTGCTTATTCAGATGATCTCTCTCTTACAGTGGTGGGTCCATTAAGGCCCCTGGTGTGTTGTGTCAGTCCCTTCTGAAGATGGCATGTCGCATGCTAGCACATTGTCTTTCTGCAGAACTAAGTGAACCCGGCGCCAAGCTGTGGTCTCTTGGTCCTATGAGTGAATATCAGTCTGAACCTGAGACCACTGCTGGTGGCAGGAGAGATCTGGGAATTAACTGCTTTCTTAAATATGCTGTCAGCCAGTCCTGCTTTTCATCCCACCTTCACTTCGGCTGCTTCTGCTTTGAGGTTACAGAATGTAAATTGGGGTACTTCTCTGCTTTTCTCCAGTTTGGGCTTAGCATTCAGCTTTCCTGGGGCATGCTGAGTTGTGTATACTCAACCAGATGCTTCTAGCTTCTAGATTTTTGTCATGTCTTCTCATGAGTTTGTCTTTAACACAGTAGCAACAACAAAATCCTTTTTCTTTATTTTAGCGGGATTTATGGAGGGAGTAGAACTGCCTCACTGGCCATTCACAGTGAGTGCCCCAGGGTGCAGGCATCAGACTGCCTTTCTGTCTACTCCTCTGGCCATCTTATACACTGACAACCCCCCAGTTTTAATCCCCATCTC